CGGGGTCAATGTCAGGCATTTCGTAAGGTGTCCAAGCGAACACTTCAATATTTGTTCTCAAGAAAGTTTCCAACTCTTTTTCCTCTTCTTCGGCTAAGCCCGAGCCGAGAAGAAAGAATGTTCTTCATCCCCATCCTGGACGAGGATTTTCTTTAGTGCCTTTTCGCTCTTCTCAGCTGCCTCTTTGCCGACGTCTTCTAGGACTTCCACGTCCTCATCTTCAATTTCTGCCTTCTCTGGCTCTCGTACGCTGTAGGTATATTTCATTGCTGCCATGGAGCAATTCTTCGCCTGCAGCTGATCGCCTCTGATTTCCTTTATCCCATGCTCTGTTGGGAATCGCAATAGTTGATGCAATGTTGAGGGAACTGCCCCCATTGCATGCAACCATGGCCTTCCCAAGATGATGTTGTAAGGGGAGGGTGTGTCGATGATGGTGAATTCTATCTTGATCTTCCTGGTGCCAGCCTGCACCTCTAAGCTTACTGCTCCCAAAGGCCATGTCGGCGTTCCATTGAACCCAACCATTGGGCCGTTGGATTGTTCCATATCATCCGGGTGAAGGCCAAGCTCCTTGTAACATCGGACGTACATGATGTTGCAAGAGCTGCCTTGATCAATCAGGATGCGTTTCACTTGGCACTCCCCAACCTGGAGGGATACTACCAAGGCATCATTATGCGGATGTTGGACCATCTCTAGGTCGGCTTCAGTAAAGGTTATCATTGGTCCTTAGCATTATTCTGCCCGATGTCTTTTCTCCTCGACTTGGTAAACATGTTGCAGGTGCTTCACTTTCTGGGTCTCTTCTTGGATTTCGTTTTCGTTGACCTTCGAGTGGATTACGTTGATTATCCGAGGTCCTCCTGCCTGCGGCTGTTGTGCTAGGGGAGGCAGGGCTACTGGTGCCTAAGGCAATCTTGCCCGTTCTTCCCTTGTTCTGGTTTCATCGACAAGGTCTCTCAGATGTCCTTGTCTCACCAGATCTTCCAAATCTGTTTTCAGGGCTCTACAACCCTGAGTTGTATGCTCATCTTCATTATGGTAGGCACAATGCCTGCCAATGTTTCTTCCCATGAACTCTCCTGGAGTCCTTTCTGGCGTTCTGAAATAGGGCTGGTTCCGAATTTGATCCAGGCCTTTGGGAATTGGGATTCGGAACACAGTTGTTACTGCTTGTGTGGCCCTCAGTTCTGCTTCTTGTCTGCTCGTTCCATTGTTACCTCAGCCTCGCTTCGGCGAGCCGTTTCCTTTCTCTTGTTTTATTTCCCTAGTTCCCGACGTGTCTTCTTCGGCTCTGGCGTACTTCTCGATTCTCGCCATGAGCTCCTCCATATTTTTTGGCAATGTCTTTGCTAAAGACTTTCGTAGTTGACAATTGTCTTTCAAGCCATTCTTAAAAGATACGACTGCCACCTTTTGATTACATTCGGGTATTCGATTGAACACCTCATAGTGTCTTTTTGCATAGGCCCTAAGGCCTTCATCCTTGCTGATCTTTAGAGCCATTAATGCGTCCACCCTTAATGGCTGCAGCTTGTTTGTCACAAACCTGACCACAAACATCTTGGCCAGGCCTTCCCAAGTCTTCACACTTCCCTTCGGTAGTTTGCGGAACCAATCTGATGCAATCTCCCCAAAGGATAAGGGGAACACTTTGCAGAGCAACGGCTCGTTCCCACTATACAATGCCATTGAGTTCAAATATAGTCCAACGTGGAAGTTGGGGTCTAACTTTCCATCGTATATTTGAAACCTCGGCATATTGAACCGCTTTGGTGCCTCAAATCTGTCTAATTCCACTGAGAATGATGTCATCGGCTTATCTGGGGAGGTTACCTTGGCGTAGGGGGCAGTTGTGGGGACATAATTTTTGAATGACAACACGTGGCCGAGGTGTCACCAGAGTGCTAGCTGAGGTGCCACGTGTCATGGTCATGATACCAAGATGATCTCGGCTAAACCGAGATTATCTGCGAAGATGTCGGAATCCGAGATAAACGGATAAGGGACAAGAATCCTAGAATGGGAGAAGACTTCAGTTTAGGTAAAGATAGGACTTTTAGAGAGTTTATCCTAATTCAACTGAGAGTCCAAGATTAGCAGTAATCCTAAGTCCATTAGAGCTAGGCTCCTATTGGGACTAGGATTGAGTTTGCTATAAAAGAAAGGCACCCCCATGGGTCTAAGGTATGCTTTTGATATTCTGTCTAATGAATTAAGCACTATTGGTTATTTTTTAGAGATATTGAGTACTGACTTGATCGTCGGAGTGCTCTCGGGTGAACGAGCCACCGCCGAAAACTCTTCTTTCTGTTGCAGGTCGTTCGGGCTTAATCTATTCTGCCGGTGTTCTCCAGTTAAGTACTAAGTTGGCAGTGTGGTCAGAAAATTACCCACACAATTTGGCACCATCTGTGGAAATGACAAGAGAATAGATAGCCAACGACGGACAGAAAGAGAAGGTTGGGGATGACATTCCTACTGGGAGTGGGAAACCTGTCGACCTTAGCATCAAAGAAGACAACTACAACGAAGAAACTCGTGATAAGAATCACGGAGAAGAGGACGTCGGCCAGGAGGGCGACGTGCTGAAGAAATCAGACCGAAGCAAGTATTATAACGAGGACGACCTCCAGCCACCGTTCCCGTCACAAGATACGCCGATTCCAGCAGCCAAGAAAGATGCCCAGGCAAGGGGGTAGAAGACAACTCCTACGACTCTTCAGCACGATAGGACCAAAGAACATTCTCACCGGTCTTCAAGGGAGGTCGGACGAGGAGAATCAAGAAGGGGAGATTCACAGAGGACACATCGCACCAAGGAAGCTGACTCCAAAGAACATCGGCATGTTCAGGGGAAGGACCTCTGTTTCGACGCGACCAATGGAGGGAGGTCCAAAAGGTCTCGCAATGACATAGGAAGTAGTACACCAAAGAGGCTGAAATCCGAAGATAGCCGAGCTTCTGGACGAACCAAGGAGGATCTGAGGGATTATCTCCAGAGAAAGCGACAAGATGCCGAGGTGACCTCACCTATCAAGCCGAGATAACACTGGATATGAGAAGACAAGAGCTCAGCCCAAGTAAGTCGATCCCGGATTCCAGATCTCAGATCCCAGAAGACAAGATCTCGGCCTAAGATGATTAAGTCCGAGAAGAGAAGAGTTAACCGAGATTATGTTTAACACTTGTTAAAATTTGTGGACAATTTACAAGTTGAAGTTAAACCGAAATCGTTGTTTAACACTTGTTGAAATTTGTGGACAATTTACAAGTTGAAACTGAAATCATTGTTTAACACTTGTTGAAATTTGTGAACAATTTACAAGTTGAAGTTAAACCGAAATCATTGTTTAACACTTGTTGAAACTTGAGAAAAATTTACAAGTTGACGTTAAACCGAAATTATTGTTTAACACTTGTTGAAATTTGTGGACAATTTACTAGTTGAAGTTAAACCGAAATCATTGTTTAACACTTGTTGAAATTCTGAGAGAATTTACAAGTTGAAATTAAACCGAGATCATTGTTTAACACTTGCTGAAACTTGAAAAAAGTTTACAAGTTGAAGTTAAACTGAGATTATGTTTAACACTTGTAGAAACTTGAGAAAAATTTACAAGTTGAAGTTAAACCGAGATTATGTTTAACACTTGTTGAAACTTGAGAAAAGTTTACAAGTTGAAGTTAAACCGGGGTCATGATTAAAGGAAGGAATGATATAGGTTCCATCACCTCAGGATGCCGAGGTAATAGAACCTAGGGGGCAGTTGCGGGGACATAATTTTTGAATGACAACATGTGGCCGAGGTGTCACCGGAGTGCCAGCCGAGGTGCCACGTGCCATGGTCATGATACCGAGATGATCTCGGCTAAACCGAGGTTATCTGCGAAGATGTCGGAATCCGAGATAAACGGATAAGGGATAAGAGTCATAGAATGAGAGAAGATTTCAGTTTGGGTAAAGATAGGACTCTTAGAGAGTTTATCCTAATTCAACTGGGAGCCCAAGATTAGCAGTAATCCTAAGTCCATTAGAGCTAGGCTCCTATTGGGATTAGAATTGAGTTTGCTATAAAAGAAAGGCACCCCCATGGGTCTAAGGTATGCTTTTGATATTCTGTCTAGTGAATTAAACACTATTGGTTATCTTTGAGAGATATTGAGTACTGACTTGATCGTCGGAGTGCCCCCGGGTGGACGAGCCACCGCCGGAAACTTTTCTTTCTGTTGCAGGTCGTTCAGGCTTAATCTATTCTGCCAGTGTTCTCCAGTTAAGTACTAAGTTAGCAGTGTGGTCGGAAAATCATCCATACAGTATTTACCTGTCAACTAAAATCTTGACTTTGCCACTACACAGCAGACTGTTTTCATAAGTGTAAATCCTTGATTAAAGGATTTAGAAAGGAATTTGAAAAGTGAAAAAGAAAAGGTGTGTAAAACTAAATGAAATATATATTTATTTTATTTATATTTTACCTCTTTTTTCTCTTTTTATTTCTAAATTATTTCCTAAATCTTCCAACCAAATACAGTGGTAATGTTAAATGAAGTCTTCTATCTAATGCCATTGGTGGGGTTTGTTGCAGGCTGGTTTGGATTTCTAAACATCAGTATCTAAATTAGCCGTATCGATTGTTCATTCTACTCACCAAATTTCCTATTTACCTTCTTTGTCTTATATTTATTGTTGACGTTTCATCCTTTGGTTTTTTTCAGTGCATTCTTGCTGTCTTGCATGCTGTCTCATTGTTAACATAGTCCTTTTGAATTAATTCTTGTCCCCATCAATGAGTTCTCTCACATAAACTTCAAACAGTTGATGACAACGAAGAGAATTACTCTATATTAGATATTAAGGACACTCAAATATGCTAATCCAACTCAATTAGGACGATGCATAATCCAATTCTGAACAGATTTCTTGATAAATTTTCTTGACAAGTGGTTTAATTGCGACGTGAATATGATCATATTGAAAATTTGAAATTGTTTACCATTTCTTATGTAAACACCCTTAGGAAAATCATGTGGAATTCTCCCTTCAATGGCGGTAACATGAACTGCTTCTCCTATCTCTTCAACTGGAGCAAAGTTACTCTGCTAAATTTATGTACATAAATTAACATATAAACCAATAAAGATTACCAAAATAAATGTGTAAAATAAAATTATTTCTGTAGGTACCTGAGATGGGAGCAATGGCTGGTCGTTGAATTCGAACACCAAATCAACAAAGGCATCAATTAATCTGACAGAAGTGTTCTTGGCAGTTTCAGCAATGTCGATTTTCGTGGGAAATTCAGGAAAATCTCTGAAGAATGGCTGCAAATAATGAAAACAGACTAGATAAGTAATGGTGAAAGTAATTTGTGGAAATTGCTTTTGTTTTGCATGGTTAAGTTTGGACTCAGACCCATCACAGATCATTAGAGAGAGAGAGAGAGAGAGAGAGATGAGTATACCTTGAAAGAAGAGGACAATGAAGTCTTGAAGTGATCAAATCTGTGTGAGATGGAAGGCTTTTGCACACAACAGTTCACTTGGAATGCATAACTAGAAATGGCCATCTCTCTCTCTCTCTCTCTCTCGCTCTATCTGTCTATCTCCCTCATAATATTAGAAATTTGTAACTGTTATAAACTGTACAACTATGAACACAAAACCAGAGTCTTGTAAAAATGACGTATAGGTAAGCAATGGTGCTAAGACTAAGCATTTACGGGGAAGCAAAGATGAAGAGTTGTGGAAGAGCATCATCATTTTGTATATAAAAAACAAAAAATTGCATAAATTTGACAAATAAACAAAGCAAGTGATGATATATTGGCAGAGCCACTTTGGCAGTATCGGGGACAAATGAATAGACTGGGCAATATGGGATATTCCCAATGCAATTAATTTCACTGTCCTACATTATATTATTATTATTTTTTTGGTAATACCAGCCTACATTTATCATGTGTTGGTTGGTGTGTTAGATGAGGGCTTATCTTATCAACGGCAGAATCAAAGCTCCTCGATGAGGGTGCCATGAGGATGGAATGGAACAAAAAAAAAAGAAAAAAAAAAAAATTGTCGGATAAATGTGAGGCACCGTTTGGGAATGTGGGTTGAAAGTTTTTTTTAACTATTTTAGACACAAAAGATAAAATAGATTATTTTAGTCATAACAAATTAAATATTACATTTAACCCATAATTATTATACTATTCTTTCACAAAAAAGTTAAAAAAATCAAAAAATTAAAAATCTTTCACAAACCAAACTTTTTAGCTCAGACTAAAATAGTTAAAAAAGTCAAAAAGTCAACCCACTTCCCAAACGACACCTGAGTCTATTTGGGTTTTAATAAATTAGATAATTTTTGAAAATAATATATTTTTATTTATTTTGGGTGTTTACTCAAATTTTACATTAAATTTGAATAAAATTTTGATCTGATATGATGTGCTCTAATCATTTCATCAAATCTGGTCAGTCATCTAACCAGTCGTCCAGACTTGTGTAAATTTTCATCAAATCTTCCCCCAATTTGGTCGTCCACTCGATCTTCTAGCTGGTCACCTGCGAGATTTAATGAAAAGTTAAACGTTTCCTTTATTTGATAAACAAAATATAGCTCCCTTCATTTGATATCAATTTGGTGAAGGGATTGGAATACTGTTTTCACCACATTTTTATTAAATTTAAATTTGATAAAAGATACGAGTCTAGATTGAAAACGGTCTCAGTTATGATAATATGTAATTTTGATATTATTTTGGAGAGCCATTATGCCTATTCCACTTTACTCCAAATACACTCCATTCTTTGTCCTTATCATACACAATTACTATTCTCACTCTATTTTACTCCGAATACACTTTTTTCTATGTATATTAAAGACAAAAAAATGAGTGTATTTAGAGTAAAGTGAATTAGCAGCTCCCTTATTTTGTTTTCGATTATAACTGAAAAGATTTTAATAAGAAATAACCAATGACTTTTTTGGTTATAATTAAAATAACAATCACAATATATCATAATTAAGTTATAACTAACTTTACAATGAGTTATGACCAAAACTATAATGAGTCATAACCAAATGTCACTTGTGTCATAACCAAATATTCATTTATTCTTAATTAAATAACAACCACAATAAGTCATATTTAAGTTAATAATATCACAATAAATCATAATTAAAAATCACAAAAAGTTGTAACTAGACATATGATACATTCATTTTCAAAGTGTATATTATAGAATTTCCCAATTTTTTATTTATGTTTATAAAATTTAAAAAATTATAAACAAAAACTCATTTGGTGTCTATTTTCATTTCCAAAATAATAAATTATTTTCAAAATTTAATAAATTTTTGTAACAAAAAATTTATTTAAACTAGTTTTGAATACAAATTTGCATTCTTTTCTCTCTTCGACTAGCAGCATGGGAAGGGAAGTCCCACGACATGTTGTACAGTTTTAAGTAAAACTCAACCCCAAAAATTAGTTATTAAAGTGAGAGTATCTCACATGTATATGTTTCACAGACCTTAGAACACAGAAAATGTTAAATTTTATTTCACACCGTCCATCACCACCACTACATTTGGCTTTTCTCCACCTCAGCTCCCATCAACTGGTTCTTTAGACCATTATCACTGAAGACCTTTGGTCACCATTTCTAATTGGGAGTCGTTTCTGGCAACCACTAACTACATATAGTCATTTGAAAATATCTTTCTGTGTGGGTGATTTTCTGACCACACTGGCCACTTAATAACCAGTTGGAGAGCACTGGCAGAATAGATGGCATCCGACTGACCTGTCCGACTGACCTGCAACAGAAATATAAGAATCTCGCGGTGGTTTCGACCACCCGGGGCACTCCAATGATCAAGTCAGTACTCAATATCTCTCAAAGATAATCAATCATCTATTCAACTCACAAGCTTGAGCATAAAAAACATACCTTAAATCCATGGGGTGCCTCTCTTTTATAGCCAATACAATCCTAGTCCCAATAGGAGCCTGGCCCTAATGGACTTAGGATTACTGCTAATCTGGGACTCCCAGTGGGATTAGGATAAACTCTCTAAGAGTCTTATCTTTACCCAAACTAAAATCTTCTCCCAATCTAGGACTCTTGTCCATATCCAGGTTGAGTTCCCTCTTCATTCTAGGACTCTTGTCCCTTATCCGTTTATCTCGGATTCCGATATTTTCGGAGATAACCTCGGCCTTGCCGAGCCTCGGCGTCACGATCAGGACACGTGGCACCTCGGCTGACACGTCGGTATCACCTTGCCACATGTTAGTACTCAGAAAATATATCCCCACACTTTCAATACCACCTTCAGTCAAAATTATTAATTTTTAATAATTCCTTTTCACTTATTTTTCAAAACAAGTTTTTAACATACGTACATATCAATCATGTTTTATTTTTTTATTATTTCTTTTATCAAGAAAATAATAATAATAATAAATTGTAAATATTATCAAACAAGAGTAATTTTAGCAATTAATCAAAAACCGATGAGCAGGTGACCAACATGAAGCAATCTTGAAGAACAGCTTAGACAAACATTAGAGAGATCATCGATGAACACAAAGCACAAGCATATTTTCTTTTCCTTGTTTGGAAGCTGAGAATTGTCCGCAGTACCTTATCTTATGGTCAAATGACAACCAAATGACTACTTTGAAGAGCTTCAATAACATTACAAACTTACACATAAAATGAAAAGAAATAAAATTAGCAACAAAGGTGACCTAATGACACGATACAAACGGCACAGGCCAAATGTCATCCCCATAATTTCAATAATTTTTATAGTCAGTATTTTAAACTTAATTGTCATTTCCGAGTCTGCTGACCACTCTTTATCATTTTCTGATTAGTTCTCATTGTCATCAAACAGGTTTTCCATCTAGAAAAGTTAATAACAGTACCCATTACAAACCAATTTCATAACATCCCTAGGGCTACAACTTGGGATAGGTTAAAAGAACTGTTTGTACTAAACTCAAAATATAGAGAGATTTTTCAAAACTTGGATATTATCCAAGCCTGGACTCAAGTTTAATTCAAAGAATTTGAACTTGACTAAGGTTGTCTAAATTCAAACAGAGAAAAATATTAATTTGAGTTATGTGCATAGAAACAGAATATAGAATATATAAATGTGAGACAAAATATTCGTAACTATAAATGCAAATATGTTTGCAATTACATATATGAATATTATTTTATCTCACATCTATATATTTTATGTTCCATTATCTCTATACACATATCCTTAACCATCATTGCACATTAAATAAATTTAGATGATAAAATGATTATGTAATTTGTGAGTGGTTGATGATGATTTTTTTTCTCTTTGTATTTCTCTTGGCCTATTTATAGACTCAGATACATGAGAAAAAGAGATAATCTAAACCCACAATTTCCTTAACATGCCCATGATTTCCTTAACATTATCTATATTCCATGTTTGATAAGGACTATTTTGTAGATTTGGTACTTGATTTGATCTTAACTCCTTGATCTTAACAACAAACTTTAAAATTACTGTAATTACTAACTTTCCAGCCATCTATTTAACATGTCATCAAACCACATCCTTAACACATTTGTCATGCTACGTTAAAATGCCTGTCGATAGAAATAATAATAATAATAAACAAATGTGGTCAAGATTATTTTTTGAAAATAGTTTATGATTTCAATCGACAGACCATAATCGAATTTGACCATAATTAATAAGACATAATTGGAAAAAAAAAATATGAGGCAAATAATAACTTAGTAGGAATCATACTACCAAATCTTAATGAGTCTAGTGGTAATTGGAATCATACGCACAAGTATTTAGCGCCACCACTATGTGCCAAAAATTGGCATCAAATGAATAATAATTGCAGGATAAATAAGATCAATGACAATAATAATTACTTTGTTTTTTTAATCCATTTTAATTATTACAAATCAATATAGTTGAAATTTTTCTTCATCCGAATCTAAAGGTTATAAATGACTTTTAAATATAATATATAATTTTTTTTTTTTTTTGTTTCTTTAATAGCAAAGGAAAATCCCAGGTGTAACCAATCTGTAGCAATGACTGTTGTACTGAGATTGGTGGTCAGCAACTTGGGTTTAAATTTTGAAAATAAGGGAATCAAATAGAAATCTCAATTGACCCACAAGACGACGTGGTTTGTTTGAGTTTTAGATGCATTTCGGGTCGGATCCAGGTAAGTCCGCGGGAAATGAACGGACTTCGACAGTGTGTTCATTGGGCTGAGAGAGACGCGTGAAGTCCGTTGGACTAACTAAACAGGGCTTACTACTTTTTACTTTGGCCCATTTTGACAGTAAAAAAAAAAGAAAATTATTATGTAGTCTTATGTATGGGATGTATTTTCCTTCTAATCTCCCTATATTTTTAATAGACTAATAAGTCTATAGTTTTTTAAGTTTTGTACCCGGAGGACCCGTTTTTTATTTTTTAAATGACTGTATTACTCTTTGATTTGAGATATATATATATATATATATACGTAAAAAATCAAATATTTGCCTATGCGAGGTTGTCTGAGACCTCAATTTCTCTTCGTGATGCCGATCTCTTTGTGCTCTGAGGTCGTTCTCGTTGTGTTGTGAGGAAGATCTGGTTGTGCGATCTGAATCTCTGTGTACGCTGTGTGTGTGTGTGTCTGTGTGTCTGTGTCTCACTCTGTCTCTATCTGTCG